TTTCCAATCAAAATGGTAGAGAAGTTTTGCAAGAGGCAACTCAATGTTGGGAACTGCAAATGATATTCCTGGACATACCCTCCTTCCTGCTCCAAATGGGATAAACTCTAAATCTGTTCCCCGAAAGTCCAATGAACTATCAAGAAACCTTTCGGGAACAAATCTCTCGGCTTCACTCCAGTACTCAGGATCTCTTAATGACTTGTGTCTTTTCAGGTATATGGTGTCCCTTGATTTCACATTTTTCCCTACTTTCTCTTGGTAACAATAGAGGGAAAGAAGGGTGCAGCCTAAGTGTTTCTTTGATTACAGCTGTTAAGTATCTTAATTCATGAATGCTTGCTTCATCCACATCTCCTTGTTTGTCAAAGACTCTTCTTACCTCCTTCTGTGCCTTTTCCAACACCTTTCGATTTTTGAGCATTTCTGCCATTGCCCAGTCCACAATTGTTGATGATGTCTCACTGCCACCGCTGAAGATATCCTGAATCATAAAATACCAAAAGTTAATATAGGATAATGATTCTGCCAACTAGATACCATTATATTGTGTTTACCTGTAGATCTTCTTTACAATTTTTCCAGGTAAAATTCTTCTTCAATTTCTTACTAAATATATGACTAAGATATATGAGAAAGAAGCCAGCTAACCCAGATAACCGCTTTGATGTCAGTATCAGTGAGGGGAAACTCAAGGTCTCCATTCTTCTGAAGCTTTAAGAGAGAAGTAACCAGGTCCTCACCTGCTTGTCCTTTTTCTACCTTTATTCCGTCTCTGTGGTCATCAAGGATGCCAGTGAGGATCCTATCACTCTCCTGAAGTAGGTTCTCAAGATTGTGCTTCATTCCACTACACACTTGAAGCACTTTGAGAGATGGATACATATATATCTGCTAAGCTGAAACCAGTTGACAACCCGACAATTGCCTTTACTATCGATATGTATGCATCCTGATCTTTGCATTTACTACCAAAAGCTGCCCTGGATGTTATCCCATATGTCAAGGAAAAGATTTTCTTACTTAGATTGATTGGGGATCCATCGTTTGAAGCTATGGCTTTGACAAGAGCTGACACCTCTTCCTCTCTGATTGATCGAAATGACTGGACTCTTTTTGTAGTCAAGAGTTCTACCGTGCAGATTTTTCTCTACTGTCTCCAGTAACTTCCATACGGGGCTAAAGCAATATCCCTGGAATTATAAGTAACGATGCTGGGAACAATCATATGGGGCCTTTGTGCAAAGATAATACCATTTGTTATCAAGATCTCTCGAGCAATTTCTGGGGAAGAAACCACAATGCTTGAAATTTCTCCAAGCTGGAGGTGCATCAGAGGTCCATGTTTCTTGGCTAATTCTCTGAGGATGTGGTGGGGCAGTGAACCAACCAGTTGGTGTATGTTACCTATAAAAGGTAGTCTCCATGGCCCTGGTGGAAGCTTTCGGTTTTTGGTTTTCCACCTGTTCATCCCTTTCACTACCATGGAAAAGAAGAGAAAGAAGATGAACAAATTCATAAAAGAGGGAAATTGAAGCTCCATGGAGATTGAAGGGAAGTAGTTGATTCTTAGGTAATTCCGATTTTGGCTATGTTTAATGCTTTTCAGTTTTCATCCTTTTATGGAAAACAAAGACTGCTTCCAGGAAAAATAAATTTTTTTTTCAAAGCTAATTAGGTTAGGTGGACAGTGGACTGTATAATTGCTTTTGCTGAAATGACATTTTTTAGCAACTTTGGTTGCCAAGTAAACTTACAAAAATAAAAAAATAAAAAAATACCAACCAAACAAATAATAAAGGCAAAAACCCATGTTAAGCCCCTCAACTTTTTCAACAGCTAGTGATAAGCCCTTGAACTAAAAAGGTGGCAGATAAGCCCTCGAACCCCACGTAGGCAGCAAATTAGCCCCTCCATTAACTGAGCTCTATCACGCCGTTAGTGTAATGGCTTGTGTGGCATTTGACATCCAACTGGCTCCAACGTGACACCCTTTCTCTCTGTAAAACACCCTTCGGAGTTTCTCTGTGGAGCGTATGGATTGGAGCACCGTTGTCTTTGGATTTCCTCCTCCGATTTGGGTTAGGGTTTGTTTCTCCTCTCAGCTTTCTCTGTAAGTTTTGGACTTCTTCGATTCACTAAGACCTTCTTCTTCCTTTCCATTTTCTGTTCTGTTGCTTCAAAATCAATTTTATTCTATTCAATTTAGTTCTCTATGGTTCTTCCTCTTAGTGTTATGATTCTTGTTGTTTTGGTAACTGTAGCTTTTTTTTATCTTCTTAAATTTGATGCGTAATTTGTTCACTTCCATGGCGAATTTGAGGAAAATTCGGTTTTACAATCCAACAGACAGATATAAAAATGTGATTTCAAACATTAGATATCTGATTTACCTTTTTTTTTCCTTTGAAAGTAAACTATAATCTAACTTCAATTCATAAGAGAAGTCTCTGATGTGAAAGGAATCTGTTTCAGGGTTGGTGAACAAGGAGATACAACTTACAAGAAAGGGAAACTATGGCGATTTTCGACGGTAAGAAATAGCATGCAGTGGTGGTTGAGTCTTTCTGTTGATGTGTTTCGAAAAGTTATCTCCTTGAACCTTTATTGCAAAGTGATTCTGTAATTTCCCAGTCTAAGTTGTCTAGCTAGACCTTTCAATTCTCTCTGTTTCGTTTCTCCTCTTTGTTTTTCCATGGGATCCACTTTCTTTATTGTCGTTCCATGTTATGTCCACCAGATTAGCTGAACATTAGGAAACCGATCTTCCATATTTTCAATCCAAGCCACCTGGTTATCCGTTTCGCTCATTGTTTTGGTGATAAAGCTTTTTTTTTATTTTTTTGTTCTTGTTGCTGCTGCTCATTCGTGTCTTGAATTGGGTAGTACGGGTTGTGGGCGTTGAATTTGTTGTTCTCTGGAAGATCCTGTTCTTTTCTTGTGCCATATTGAAGGGTTGGGATGTAGTTATGGTGTGCCAAGCAGCATGTAGGACAAGATTCCGGGCATTGAAGCACGAAAATGGAATTACAGGGAGCGCCACCATTGTAGTTAAAGTCATAGCAGGCTTTCAACCCTTCAGGATTGTCAGGTATGTTATATTCCATTTTATACTCTTTGAATAAGTCTTTTATTGAAGAATTAGATGCCATGTTTTGTGGTGTTTGTATTCTAAAGGTTTCCCTCCTATCTTTTACATGGAGATTTTTTGTTCCTTTCTTCGCTTGATAATTGTTGAGATTGCTTATGCAATGCATTTTTTTGATTTCATTTTTTGGGATTTTCCAGGCTAAATATTTCTGTCATTTGCTGAAGCCCCGTTACGTAGATTAGTTTTTCATCTTTTCATCTGAGTTATCTTTTCATCTTTTCTGACACTAATATGGTCTCAACTGCCTCAGGGGCTCTGTCAGTTTATGCAAATACTAAGCTACCACATTTGCAGGTTGGCCAAGTTAATGAACCTCGTGGTTGGTTCTATTGCTTACCCTGCTTTCAGCAGGCATTTACTCCGACGGCTTTTGCTTCGTCGCCTCGTAATGTGAAGCAACCGTCTCCTTCACCAACTCCAACGTCTCCCTAGCCTTGTTCTTTGCCGCATCATACCCCTCTTTCGCTTTGTCCTTGGCCCAATTCAGCTGTTCTGCCGAGTGTCCCTGCCTCTTCCTAATCTCCTCCGCCGCACTGTACTCCGTTCGCTCACTCATCTTTCCTGCTGCTTTGTTTTTTGCTATTTCGTAGCCTTCCTTTGCCTTCTCCTTGGCCCAATTCAGTTGCTCGGCCGCC